ACATCTGTTAGTCTTTAAGGTGCCACAGGACTCTTTGTTGCTTTTTAGGTGTCTTGACGCCCTGCGCTTGTAATCGGAGATTTATGGTAGCAGTGCACAGTTGGGCCGTGTACACACCATAGCTGTCTCGCACTGCTCCAAGCAGTTACATAGCGATGCGCAGCCAACCATCCCCAGTTCCTTCTCTATCGCCTTTGGCATGAATCGGAGTGATCAGCAGTGCCCTCTCTGACCTCATATAAGACTTATAGTAGATAGTTTATAGTGATAGTGTTAGCTTAATTGTAGTTAGTTTCCCTATCCCCTTGCCTTACTCTAATTTCTTTAAAATTAAAAAAAAAATCCTTTTCCTTCCATGTCTACCCCTCCCTCCCTGGTAGGTGTACAGCCTTAGCCTCAAACAAGGTTTACCCTATTTTTTTCTCAAAGAGACCAACTCTCTCGGGCATGTCTGGCTCACATGGCTTTAAATGCTGCCTTACTTGCAGACTATCCATACCAGTCTCTGATGGTCTCAGTGTCCACTGCCTTGGCGGGACACACATTACTCAAAAGTGCCCACGCTTCAGAAAACTGACAGCTAGGACAAGAAAAGCCAGGGATTTCCAACTGACATTCCTCATGATGGAGAAATCCCTAAGGACAACCTCCAATCCCAAGTCCAGGTCACCCCCTGGCCAACGGTCACTAATGGCAGCCTCTGACAGGGGTTCCGCTTCAACAACAGCTGCCAAGGAGCCTACTTCTAGAAATGCTACCGGAAGGAGGTCGCAGACATCCTCGCACCAAGAATTGCCTAAAAGAAAGCGATCTCCAACTGAAAAATCTGCCCCGGTACTGATGGCACCGAGACCGCCGGACTGCGAGGCACCAGAAACATCCAGCACTGAGAGTTCCTGAAGAGCTAAAGACCCTATGCGGGCAGGCCGTAATGGACGTTCACATAGCAAAGTGAAACCTTCCATCTCGGCACCCATTGAGCCGAAGAAGATCTCGGCACCGAGTGGTACAATGGCGCCACACAGCTCTAAATACTCGGCAGTGGCAGCTTCAACTCATGCTCCCGGGCTGTCCACCTTGCCATCTCTGGCATCAAGCCTCACGATTCTGCAGTAATTCATGAGGCATGCAGACCTGAGAGTGGCCTCAATGCCTGAATCTCCTCTACTCGGCATCAAGGGCACCCCATCTAGATCAGTACCAAACCAGTTGACTACTCCCTGCAGGTCAGCGCCACCTATCTCCAGTGATGAGGAAGAAGAGGATGATGTAGTAATATATACTCCTTGCCATTCCTCACCCAAGCCAGGACCATCTCATCACCAACCACCTGCAGATATACAAGGATGGTATGATAACCCCTGGGCACCGCTCCCATACCAGTCCCACCTAACTGGTCATATTGGGATCCATGAGCAAAGTCTACGGCCCAAAACCACAAGCCCCCTAACCCGCCTAGGTCCAGATCAGCCCTTTCACCAACTGTCCCAGCACCCTCAGAAACACAGGAGGAAGACACTGAGGAACCTGAAGACACAGCCAAACATGACACTTGTCGCCTACTCACCTCTTTTCGTCGTCATTGGACAAAACCATAATACCACCACCAGCCACTACAGGGGATGATTTCAAATACTTTCAGGACCTCTTCAAAAGGTAGCCAAATCCCTAAACATTTCACTAGAACAGCTACCAGAAGCCCAACATAAGGTCACAGACATACTCCAGGCATCCCCATCGGCAAATATAGCTCTGACAATTAATGACGAAATCATGGAGCCTGCAAAAAAAATCTGGCAGACACCTGCTACAGCACTACCCTCATGTAAAAGGTCCAACAAAAAATATTACATTCAACAAAAGGGGCTGAGTTCCTATTTACACACCTCCGCACCAATTTCCTTAGTAGTGGAGACAGTCACCCAAAGGGGGAAACAACACCAGTCC